GTACTGGGGACTGATTGTCAGCTAACAAGCTGCCCCAAACCTTAGTGGCTGAAAGCAGCTACGGGTTTATGGTGCATGATTTTGCCAGCGGGTGGGGCTCGTCTGAGCGGTCCTTCTGCCCCCATGGTGCCAGCTGAGCCTGCTCACGGGGCCGCCGGAGGCTTGGCCACACCGGAAGGTCCAGCAGGGCCTCACCCATCAGATAGCTGGTGGTGTTGGCGGGAGCATCTCGGTTCTCCTGCATGTGGCCTCTCCAGCAGCACGCCTGGGATTCCTCACGTGGCCGTTGTTCTCCAAGAGGGTGACTTAGATGCTGCGAAGTCTCTTGAGATCTAGACCCAGAAGGCACAGAACGTAGCTTCTACCACATTCTACCAGCTGGAGCCAGTCGCAGGCCAGGGCAGAGTCCAGGGTGGGCAGGAATGGACCCCACATCTTCATGGGCAAAGTCGTATTGCGCAAAGGCGCGTAGGGTAGCGGGGGATGGAGGGCCAGCTCTAGAAACACAAGCACCCACTATGTGCCAGGCATTGTTCTAAGCTCTGGGAATACAAAGGAGAATAAAGGGACTAAAACCCCAACCCCCAGGAGCTTCTATTCCGCTGAAGGGAAATGGCAGGAAACAAGTAAAACATACAGCACAGTGGTAAAACTAATGACAAACAAATTGAGATGGGACAGGGAGTGGAGGGGGAGTGGCAAGGTCAGGGGAGGCCTCACCGAGGAGAGACATTTGAGCAAAGGAAGCATGGGATGAGCTTTACCAGCAAAGGGAAGAGCAGGTGCAAAGGCGCTGGGGTGAGGATGTGGCTGATGTGGTTGGTGGGGAGTGAGCAGTAGGTGATGAGGCTGGGGCGGGGGTGGAGGGTGCAGATGGTATAGAGAACGGGGGGCTCTATTTGGCATTTCTGAATGAGGTGGAGAACAAGAGAGAATTTTTAAAAACTAAGATATAATTCATATAAAATCGACCATTGGAAAGGATATAATTCAGTGCTTTTTAGTATACTCACTATGCTGCACAAATATCACCATGACCTAATTCCAGAACATTTCCATCACCCAACAAAGAAGCCCCACAGCCATCAGCGGCTGTCCCCTATTCCCCCTTCCTCTCATTTCCTGGGGGAAGAAAACCACTAGTATACTTTCCGTCTCTGTGGATTTGCCTCTTCTGGACACTCACAGCAAAGGAATCACGTAACACATGACTTTTGCGTCTGGCTTCTTTCACTCAGCATGTTTTCAAGGATCCCCCATGATGCAACATGTATCAGAACATCACGCCTTTCTATGGCTGAATAACATTCCACCATGTAGACAGACCACATTTTGTCCATTCAAACACGGACGTGAGTTATTTCTACTTTTTGGCTACGATGAATAGCGTACAAGCTTTTGTAACAACCTGCGTTCTGGATATGTTTGGATATCCTTTTGCATGCATTGCTGGACCGTGGGGCCCCTCTGTGTTTAAGCGTTTGAAGAACTGCCGGCCCGGTTCCCAGCGCTGCTGCATGACTTCACGTTCCCACCAGCAGTGGATGAGGGTTTCCGTTGCCCCACATCCTCACCAGCACTTGTCACTTTCCATTTTTGTCGCTGTGGCCATCCTGGTGACTGCGAAGTGGAGGAGTGGAAGATTGTGAGCAGAGGAGGGGTTTGGTTTTAACAGGATCTTTCAGGGGAGTGGATCAAGGAGGAGCAAAAAAGGAAGTGGGGGACCAGCGAGCACCTTCTGCACTGGTTGCAGCAGCAGGGACAGTGCCATGTGCCAGGGAGGTGGCGGGGAGGAAAAGTCGAGGGATTTGGGGTGCATTTTTAAGGCATAAGTGAGAGGATGTATGTACGGATTGGATGGGATGAGGAGTGAGAGAGATGAATCAAGGATGCCCCCAGATATCCGGCCGGAGCAACCGGACAATGGCATTTCCATTTGTTGAGTTGGAAGAGACCATGGGTGGAGGGTCTTTGAGTTTTCTTGTGCCGGTCACTTGGAGGCAGGGGCAAGCCCCCCTTTTTTTCTTTTTCTTTCTTCTTTTCTTCCTTCCTCCCTTCCTTCCTTTCTTTCTTTCTTTTTTTTTTTGCCAGCCCAGCTGGGAAGTTTTGATTGGCACTTTGGGAGGGGGAGGGATGTGGAAGAAGAAAGCAAACGCCATGATTCAAACGTGTTAAAAAAAAAAAAAAGTCCCTGGCCGTGCCCTGAATGTTACTTAAAGCGAGCCATTTGTGTCCTTACCCTCGGGGTGGGACAATTTGTGCCCGGAGAGTTACAAAGGACGGCAGGGGCATTCATTCTGATTATGGGCTGGTTAAAAGGGTGTGTGGGCTGCAGCCTGCAGGACTCTGGTGGCAGAGGCTACTTAGGGGATTATCTGGAGGGAAAATTATCCCGTGAATGATTTGTGGCGTGGCAAGGTGGCTAATCCCGAGCTTCCGCGCGTTGGCTGCGAGTGTCTTGGGGCTCCTTCCTCCCTGAGCCCACCAGGCAGTGAGCAGATGCCTTCTGGGCTCTCTCCTGCTTTGGGGCACTGCCCTGAGACTGCAGCTGACAGGTAGCAATAAAGGGAGCACACTTTCCCCTCTCCCAAGAGCACCTGGCGGTTTTGGGCTTCAGCGCCGGAGTCAGAGTGCTCGGGGGCAAATCCGGCTTCTATACTTCTGAGCTGTGTGACCTTGGGCAAGTGACTGAAGCTCTCTGGGCTTTTGTTTCTCAGTCCCTGAAAGGGGGGAAATCCCAGCACCTGCTGTACAGCGTTCTCCTGAGACTCAAACGAGACAGTCCATATGGTGGCTAGACCTTGTTTTTATGAGAGAGCTATAGAAAGCACCTACTGTGTGGCAGCACTCCCTCAAGCGATTTAGCCACATTTACTCTGTCAGCTTAACCTCTTAAGAGCCCTGCTTAGTGGCAGTTCCTGGCACAGGGGAGCCCACAAAAACGTAGGGTCACATGGCTGGCAAAAGAAGAGACGGGATTTGAACCCAGGACCAACTACCTTTCTCTGCATGCCAGGATGGCTTGAACTGTGCTTCCTGTGCACAACAAGCTCAGGCAGCCTGTCCAGCTGGGGCGGGTGTCCACTGTGCTGGGCCCTGCTCCGCAGGGGGTCTCCAGCCCCCCTCTGCCCCCCACCGTCTCCTGGTCTCCCGTCTCGCTGGGTTTCCTCTGCATCAGAAGGAACAGCCAAACCCTCTCCCACCTTCTTTCTCCCTTAGCGTTCAAGACACTTTTTAACCACGATTTTGGGGGAGAACTTCCTGTGTGTTTCCTCCCGCCATCGAGGTTGCCTCCCCCTGTCAAGAACCCCCCTTTCAGGTACTGAAATAGTCCCAGCTGCGAGATGAAGGTTCCAGAGCTTAAAATTGCAACCGCGGACTATTTATACTGCAGCCGGAAAGATGTCTCTTCGCACAGCCGCTCACTTTGTTGTGGTGGCGACGCTCCGCTGCAAGCAGCCGGCTCTGGCTCTGTACAAACATTTCTTGGGGACAAGTGGGCGGTGAGGGAGCCCTCAGGTGTGGGGGCCGGTACCAGGCCTGCCCAGAAACGTTCGTGGCGTCTCCCTGGAGCAGAATGCTGTGGCCCGCAAAGCCAGAGAAAGAGGTTCCTGGTCTGGGTGAAGGTCCTTCCTAGATGCCTGGTACTCAAACACCAAACAGACAAAGGAACAAAACAAAACAAAACAAAACAGGCATTTTATAAGCTATGAATGTTGTACCTACCTGGGGGGAAAATGTTCAAACTAATTTTTACAAAGGTGATGAAAACAGGGGTTATAAACAGGCAGACCCTTTCACATTCATGTTTAGGTTGGCCCACGGAGTGTTAAAAAAATTATTTTTTTTGGATTTGTGCCACTGTTGAAAAATTGGGATCTTTCGCATAAAATGAGAATTTCTGGGCTCTTGGTAAATGGGAGGACGCGGCACCCCCAGGCTGCCTCCTGACGGCCGCCGGTGGCCGGCTGCCCAGGCCCTTGGCGACCACCGTGAGACCCCGCAGCCCGCTGACACCCACACGTCGCCGCCTGCCCCTGATGGCTTGAGTTTGGGACCCATGAAATATCATAAAACCTTCAAGTCTCCCTCTCAGACCCTCCAATACCCGCTCTCCAGGGATGAGTACACACCATAAATAGGGTTTCCAGAGAAGCGACAGGGTGCCCAATGAAAATTTGAATTTCAGGTCAACAACGAATAGTATTTTAGTGTGAGTATATATCCCCTAACTATTCACGGGCTGGGACGTGGTGGAGGCCTTTGTCTGTTGACCACACACGTATCTTGGTCTTGTTACAAGGTGAGGCTTGTGTCCTGCATCTTCTGCAAGTCGTGTTTCCTCTCTGGGGTGTTTCTTTCTTTTTAAAGATTTATTTATTGATTTGAGAGAAAGAGAGGAACGTCAGTTTGTTGTTCCACTTATTGATGCATTCATTGGTTGCTCCTCATATGTGCCCTGACTGGGGATTGAACCTGCAGCCTTGGAGGATCAGAATGATGCTCTAGTCTAAGTAACTGAGCTACCCAGCCAGGGCTCTCCAGGGTGTTTTGCAGAAGGCCTTTCTCGGGGTCTGTAAGAGCAGATTTTGAGGCCGTGGACTCAAACCAACGTCAGCACCCTGGCCCCACTGTGGGCCAGCTGGGCAGCCCCAAGCAGGCTGCCTCATCTCTCTGAGCCTCTGTTTGTTCTTCTGAGCAACGGGCACGATGAGGATAGATTTGTTATTTCCTCTTGATATTCTGTCATTTCTTCGGAAAGCCGCGTAGAGTGGATGGTCCACGGGGGCTTTAACCTGTCCTCAGGTGTCAAGATTGCTGCCAACTTATTGCCGTTTCAAAGTGAGGCTGTGGGAGGTTTTGAAAAGGGAACGGAGGTCTGGAGGGAACGGGGCAGATAATTCTAAGATTTAGTTTCTTTTTTTTTTTTCTTTTTAATTGAAGGACGCTTGTCTCCCTGGAAACCACTTGCTAATCTCCAGGATATTGTCTCTTTCCAGGCGAAGGAGGTGGAGGAGACCATCGAGGGGCTGCTCCTGAGGCTGGAGGAGTTCTGCGCTCTGACTGACATGGTGAGTGTCTGCCGGGCCGTGAGGGTCGACACCCGGGCGCCACGCCGGCCCTTCCTGGAGGTGTTCTGGGGAAGCCTCCCAAGTGGGGATGGAGCCACCAGAAGGAGTGGAGATTAGAAGGAGCAGGTCTCGCACACTCTGCTCCCACTCTCTCCCACTCCCAACCCCAGGGCGTCCTCAGGCAGCCATCTTGGCCACGTCCTTCCCCCCAGATGGCTTTCATTCCACGGAGGAGCCAGGAGCAGGCCACCAGGTGGCACTCTCGGGCCCCGATGCGGGGAGCCGTTCAGCGGGGATGCTAAGACTATATTTAACTTTCCCTGGCTCTGCGCAGCCCGCCAGGCAAACATGGAGACGGCCAGGAAATGGCTTCAGGCCCGTGAGGCCTAGGAGGAGCCTGCCCCGGGCCGCGGCCCGCGGTGGGGTGGGCGTTGGGCTCTTTCCTGAATCCTTCTGCTCTCTCCACTTCCGCCTCCTACCCTGTTCTTTTTTGGTTTTGTGTTTCTTTGGGGTTTTGGACCCAGCCCCCTTGACTGGGTGGGGCAGAACATGGACACAGTACCTCCGGCCCAGAAGATGAACTCTCCACTCCAGGTTCTGTAGAAATCTCCCCAGCATCCTGGTGTCCCCGAGCCTGCTGCCAGCAGGTGTGAGGCCCAAAGGAGCAGTGATAGAATTTTCTGGAAATCCCAAGCTCATTAAAGCTACCCGAGGTGGAGGCTTCGGCCTGGAAGCCCAAAGGCCAGAGTTCGATGTTGTGACCAGGCCCTGCCTGTCCCTGGAGCCGGGGAAGCCGGCCTGGGCCCAGTGGGATAGGTTTGTGCCCGCCCCGAGAAGCCAGGTCTGTGGGAGCCCAGGCCAGTAACAGGAGCAGCAGCCCCAGGCATTGACTCAACATCTACTTTGTGCCAGGTCCCTGTGTAATCTCGCCTCCCCTAGAGGCAGCCCAGCGCGGTGGGCTCCCTGCCGTCCCGCTCATTCAGCAGGCCTACCTTGTGCCAGCCTGGGGCGCACGGCGTGAACAGGCAGGCACTGCCCACGAGGACCTGTGTGCGCTTTCCTCCGGAGAGCCGATTTCTCAGTTCAGGGGGTGGTTCGGGGGGAGCTGGGTACTGAGACAGACTCTGAATGGACTGCCTAGTCCTTTCCTCATCGCCAGCTATTGGATGCCTTCCCTGACAGAGTCCCGTGTGAGTCTGAGGATGCGAAGAGTCCGCCCCGCCTCTGTTCCGTCTGAGCCCCCACTCTGCCGGGGGAGCCTGATTTCGGTCCCAGGCTCTGACATTTTGGGCAGAAATGCTGTCATGATGGTATGCTCAGGGGCAGAGGGAGGCTGCAGGAGTTTTGAAGAGAGAAAGGGGGTCTGGAAGGAATGGGGCATGTAATCCTAAGCCTTAGTTTGCTTAAAAAAAAAAAATTAGAGCAGAGGCATTAATTCTGCCTGGGAAATGGGGAAGGCTTTGCGGAAGAGGTGGTGTTTAATTTGGGGCGTTGAAGGAGCAACGGACAGAGTTCAGCCGCTGGGGAGAGCGGGAGTCTGGGCAGAAGGACCGGCCGGTGCGTACGGTGCGTACGTGTGGTGTTCCCGGCACAGCGTGGATGGGAGGGCCCCCAGGGAGTGGCGAATTTGTAAGACGGCATGGACTGGTGACCCAGAGACATTTTTGTTGACAAGTCCTAGCCCATCCCCCTCCCGTGAAAGGAGGCCCACCGTCCTGCCTGGGCAGCTGGAGGTGGGGGTCAGCCTGGACCGGTGGAGAGGGACCCAGCCCCCTACGCTGGGAAGTCAGCGTTTGGGTTGCCAGGAGGCCCAAGACTGCAGGCTGCCCGGGGCCTGGGTGCTGTACTGTGGGTCATTTTCACGCGATTAAAATAATTGCTTTCACGCTGCGTGCTATGTACTAAGGGACCCACACGCGGTGTTTTCGTCAGTGCCTCTGGCTGCACTCCTCTCTGACTCAGAGCCTGGGGCCACCCTTACGCAGAGATTTTAACATGAGGTCACACACAGGTGACCCACAGGCCCAACCAGTCCTGCCCGCAGAGAGATGGGATGTTTCCAGGGGGTAAAAATAAGAAAAAAGAAAAAAGAAAAGGAATTTGCTGCTGACATTTATAGAATGTCATGCAAAAAATCTGGATTTCTGGCTTTTCTTACGAAAACAAAGATCTGGCTACCTCTGTGCCTGCCTTTTTCCCACCTGGCCAGCATCAGCTCGAGCTGTATGGTGGCCGTCCCCTGTGGCATCTCGCCACCGTCCCCAGTGCCCCCGTGGGAGCCTCCCTGGCTCCACGGCCCCTTGCCGGGTACATCCATCACTTGCTCGTGTGTTTAAGGTCAAGGACACGTCTCTGTTCTTTGGGCCCTACTGAAAGTGGGCAAATAAAACCCGATCATGAGGGCCCCATGTTTCAAGGAATGGAAGAGAGTGCACTTCCCATGGACGTGAAAATTATTTCAGTGTGTTTATGTGCAAACGAGCATGTCTGCAGTGATAGAATGTGCCCAAGATGCACTTTTGTGGCCTCCGCAGGCGTGTTGAATTTGCAGCCTCCACATCGGTGCTCTGTGCTGATGCTCTTCGGATGAGGGGTCCTCTGGGCCTCAACAGCTGATGCTTAGCTTACTGAGTGTGTCTGCATCGGGTGTTGTGAGCTCCGTGGCAAAGAGAGGTGTCCAGCTATCAGCCCGGGCTCGGACCTCCGTTTCGCCCTTGATCCAAGCCAGGGGTGAGTGGGTACTTCCGGGGGGCAGGTGATGTCCCACTGTGGACCACTGTCTGGGCCCTGCCTTGACATTGATTAGGAAACACTGATCAAGTTAGAGGCCTGAGAGAAGCCAGGCTCCCTGGCACATGGTCCAGAGAGACGCCACTGCATTTCTGATAAAAATCAGGCTGTTCGAAATGAGAGGCCGGCTTCCTGTCTGATGCATTAACTCCTCTGCGGGCCTGTCCTCGATCGCTTGCTGAGACTGGATTTTGCTACCCTGTGCCTGTGACCTGTTTTGACCTTAGGTATAGTGCCAGTGGCTGCCACTCCGAGCTCTGAGTCTTCCCTCCGTGGGGCCTGGGGCACCGCGTGTCCTGTCTCTGTACCTTTATTTTCTCCTCTCTATAATGGAGACAATGGCTCGGACAATCTTTTGCCACATCACGCTACCCTGGGACTTAGTGGTGTGAAAGCAGCCCGTTTGTGACGTGGGCCAGGCCAGGGCACAGAGAGGCCAGCCCGTGTGAGCTCTGTAGCACCTGCTGGGCTGGGGATGTCCAAGGTGGCGTCTCCCCTCACTTGTCAGACGTCTGGGCTGGGAGGGAGGTGGGGCTGGGGACTGGCTGGCACACCTGTTCGCGCAGCCTCGCCACGTGGCCAGCTTGGACGGCCTCACAGCATGGCGGTCCGGCCCCCCGAGCAAGCGTTGCAGCAGATGGGAAGCAGAAGACGCCAGTCTCTGGAGGCTTGTACGTGGAAATTGACACAGTGTCACTTCTGGGTTTTGTTTGTTTGTTTGTTTGTCAAAGGAGTCTCATAGCTCACCCAGATCCAAGGGGAGAGGCCATAGACCCACCCTCCCCCCCGGCCGGCCCCCTGCTTCCTGGAAGGAACGTAGAGAACTTGTGAACATTTTAACCCACTGCGAGTGGTATCTACCTCCAAAGAGTTGTCATGAGGAATACGTGAGGCGGGGATATATACTTCCCAACCACTAGAGCGGCCAAAATGGAAAGGACAGACCATAGCAAGTGTGGGTGAGGCTGTGGACTAACTGGAGCTCTCGTTCATTTGCTGGCGGAAATGCAAACAAGTACAGCCACTTTGGAAAATAGTTTGGCGGTTTCTTAAAAGGCCAGACATATACTTACCCTATAGCCCAGCAATTCTCATCCTTGCTAATTACCCGAGAGAAATGAAGACGAGTGTCCCCAAAGACTTGAACGCAAATGTGCATAGCACCTTTGTTCATGGTGCCCCAAACTGGAAACAACCCAAGTGTCCATCGGCAGCAGGGGTGGGAAAAGAAGCTGTCACTTATTCGTACACAGCCCTGGGAAGGAATGAACTGCTATCACAGTAGCAGGATGGCTCCCACCAATGTGATGCTGAGCGAACGAGGCCGGACGGGAGAGTCCGTTCTGTGAGGTTCCTTTACTATGAAGTTCAGAAACAGGCAAAGCTGCCCTGGCTGGGTGGCTCCGTTGGTTGGAGCGTCGTCCCATAAACCGAAAGGTTGCGGGTTCAATCCTCGGCCGAGGTGTGTATGGGAGGCAACTGAGGGATGTTTCTCTCTCACATCGATGTGTGCGTGTGTCTCTCTCTCTTCCTTCCTCTCTCTAAAATCAATAACCACATCCTCGGGTGAGGATTTAAAGAATGAAAGGCAAAACTAACCAATGGCGATGGGAGAGCGGTGAGCGCTGGGAGGTGCCGTGCCTGGGGAGCGGCCTGACGGCGCCTTCCGGGGCCACGGGATGGCATGGCGTTGCCGTGGGTGGCGGGCACACAGACGCACACGCATGTACAGATCGATCTAGCTGTTCGCGTCGGGCCTGGGTGCTGTACTGTGGGTCATTTTCACGCAGTTATAAATAATTGCTTTCACGCTGCGTGCTATGTACTAAGGGACCCACACGCGGTGTTATCGTCTGTGCCTCTGGCGAGGTGTACATGGAACTGGGATCTGTGAGTCTTCCAGTTCAGTACCCTTGGGGTTTGGGCAGCCTGTCCAGGCCCTCTGAAATTCTGGTGGCCTCGGGCCCACCTTCTGGCGGGCAGCAGACTCTCCCTTTGCTCACGTAAATGGAGAAAATTTCCTGTTGGCCTCCACCCAGCAGTTGCATTTGGCACTGGTGTGTGTTCCTGGGTCAAGTGCATTTGGCTCTCCTTCCTGGGGGCCCTGACTCATCTTGGACAGCCGTCTTTGCTCTGTGATAACCGCACCCCCCTGCCCAGACTCCGGGGCTCCGGAGACCCGCTGCAGGGAAGGGGAGGGCCTGCTGGGCCCCCAGCCCCGTGAACCTGGCTGGGGGTTTGTCCTGGCAGGAGCTCAGAAGGCACGGCTTTCTCGCCGACGCCTCTTCGCTCTTCTCAGCAATGTACAAAACGCGCATGCTCAGATGCCTGTGATGTGATGCTGTGTAGTGGGCTGGCCTGAGACAGGAGGTGGGTCTCTTCCCTTTGACTCCCTTGTAAGAAGAAAAGTGCACACTGTGCCCGCGGACACCATGTTGGGGATACTAAGGGAGTGGTGGGAACTGCGGTTTACCAAAAGGGGCAGCTGTCACTGGCTCTAGCTGGTTGTTGCCACGTGGAACTTGGCCTCAGTGTGGCCTGAAACCTGGGTTTCTTAGGGGAAAAGTCTTAATTTTGCATCTTGGCACCTAACTTGGTTGTGCTTTTGTTTTTGTTGTTGTTTTGTTTGTTTGTTTTTTTGAGACATGACGCAGGCTGGCTCTCCATGGATAATACGTAGGTAGAACGTGCCTGTGGATCTCTGGTGTCGGGGGAGTGGCCTCAGACCAGCCTGAATTGGAGTCCTCTGTCTCCCACCTTGTAGCTCTGTGGTCTTGGGCCAGCTCATTGAGTTTTCCTGAGTTTTTCTCAGTATCATCCTGAGATGATAAAAGTTGAAGATAAAATAGTTCCTCTTCCCAGGGTCTGTTTCCTCAAAGATCACCCTCTCCTTCTCCCCAGGGGCACAGCCTGCCTTTGAGACAGGTGTGGATCGTTCCCTAACACCTGCGGTTTCTGGAGAAGTGTCCTCAGGGAGGGGCCTGGGGCTGGGCCCACAGACCCTTTGTCCCCTGCCTAGGCTTTGGGAGGCAGGCGGGGAGTGCTCCCCTCTCCCCTGCAGGTCGCTAAGAGCAGTTCCTCCCGATTCTCACACCCACCCCCAAAATATTTCTTTACAAATTATAGAGAGAGAAGATTACATTCAATCCACTGTGTTCTGTCCTTGCTGTGAGCTCTCTGCTCCGGGCCTCCCTCTAGGACATGGCTTTGGGGAAACCAGGGCAGATGGAGGACTTTCCCTATCGCAGCAGCAGGTGCAGGCGCCTGCGGAGCCAGCTGCCCAAGGGTGTGAGCACACGGGACCAGGTGAGGCATTAGGGAGGGGTGGCAACAGTGGAATCCCACCCTGGGGGGAGCAGCCTTCCACGCCTGGGGGGATGTAGGCCCCATGCAGCTAAAGCTGCTGACTCGTAAGAGAGCTTATACGTCCAAACTTAACCCCTTCAATATTTTTGTCATATTTGTGTGTTTTATTATGGAATAGTTTTAGATTAACAGAAAAGGTGCAGAGGCAATACATAAGAGCTTCCCCCCTTCGTTAATATCTTACATCACCACATGCCTTTGTTGAAACTGAAAAACCGCTGGCCCTGCCCTGGCTGGAGAGGCTCAGTGAGTTGGGCCTCGTCCCACAAAACAAAAGGTCTCTGGTTCGGTTCCCCATCGGGGCACGTGCCTGGGTTGCATGTTTGGTCCCTGATCAAGGGGCGTGGGAGAGGCAACCTTTTGACGTTTCTCTCCCGCATCAATGTTTCTCTTCCTTTCTCTCCTTCCCTCCCTTCAAAAATAAATAAATAAAATCTTTTAAAAAAGAAAAACCAACCCTGATCTGTTGCTACTCGCCAAACTCCACACTTGATTTTGATTTCGCCGGCTTCCCACCGACATCCAGCTCCTGTTTCAGGCCCCCGCCCCTGCCTCGGAGTCCACATCGCCTTCAGCGGTGGCGCCTCCCTCACCTCCTGCCGTCTTCGATGGTGTTGGGCTCCCCGTGTCTCTTGTCATTGTGGCAGTTGGGAGGAGCGCTCGTCGGGCGTTTTGTAGCATGCCCCTCCGTTTGGGTTTGTCTGATGTTTTCCTTGTGGTTGCACAGGGGTTGTGGGTTTCTGGAGAGAACACCACAGAGGTGAGGTGCCTTCTTGTCACATTGTATCAGGGGCGAGTGTCACGCACAGAACACCCCTGGGACGTCAGTCTTGGTCAGATTTCCCCACGGAAATGTTACCGTGTTCCCACGCATTGTTTGCTCCTGAGACGCATGTGTGTTCAACGTGTCCATTCACACTGTAGGTTCTCGCCCAGCATTACATTATTTACGCTGTTGTTCAGGCTGCCCCAGCTCCTGCCGCCAGGCTCTCTCCGGCTCGCTCCTGGGTGCCTTGGACACGCTCCCCTCCTTCATTTTTTTAAACACTTCTTTCCTTTCTGGCACTATAGGATGCTCTAAACACAAACTTTCCCTGCCCCAACCCTAGAATCAGCCATTGCCCCTAGGAGCCTCAAGCCTCATTTGAATTTTTAAGTTAGACATTAAATCAAATTTTAAAACTAAAACACTTTGTGAGCCCAATCAGGTACATCTGCGAGCCACAGGCATAGATCTTCTTTAACCCCCAAAGCATCCTCTTGAGAGAAGCGCCAGTGCGAGCCCCATTTTACAGGTGTGGAAACTGAGGTTCCGAGAGGTCAGGGCAGAGACTAGGACCAGGCGCCTCCCTCTCAAGACAATCTTCAACTTCATGGGGTCAGGGCCGGGGGCAAGGAGCGTTCCGCCGGACGGTGGGCTCGGAGCCAGGTGCCCGGGGAGATGGCTGTGCCGTAACCAGAGGAGGGGAGGCCTGGGGGAGACCCGCAGAACCGTGGGCTGGCTTCTGAGAAACCCGAGGACAGGGGGGACAGAATTCCAGGAGAACCCCAGAAGTCTCCTGTACTTGGGCAGAAAGAGGAGGAAACACAGGTGCGGTTTCTAAAAACATTTTTAAAATTAAAATGTTGTCCCGAGTTGTCACCTTGTGTTAGTTCTCTATTGCCGCATAACAAATTAGCCCACACTGAGTGACTTCAGCCATTCTCTGTTTGACGGTGTGTGGGGGGCAGAAGTCTGGGTGCAGCCTAGCTGGGCGCCATGGCCCAGAGTCTCACAGGCTGCAGCCGAGGTGTCGGCCAAGGCCACGGTCCTCTCGGGGCCCACGTCGGGCAGGACTGCGTCTGGGCGAAGTCAGTGGCTCTGGATTCCGTTCCTCCCTGGCAGTTGGTGGGAGCCCCTGGCTTGCTAGTCCCATGGGCCTCTTTGTCAAAGTGAGCAACCGAGAGGGCAAGTGAGAAAGAAAATGGGGAGAGAGAGAGAGATTGTGCGTGAACAAGCCAGCAGTAGACAGAGACCGCCAGCAAGGTGGAGTGACAGTCTTCTGTGAACTAGTCTCAGGCGCCACCTCTCTGGTCTCTCATTTTGACCAACTCTCCTTCATTAGAAGCGAGTCTCTAGGTCCAGCCCATCAACAAGGGGGCGGGGGTCCCACAAGGGCGTGAATACCAGGAGGCAGGGACCCTTGAGGACCCTGTCAGAAGCTGCCTGTACACGCCATGCCAAACAGTCTGCTACCTGTTGTCCTTGCAGCTTTCCCAGGAAGCAAGAAACATTGTAGTTGCAGAGAAGCAAAGGAGGGCCCAGAGAGGTGCAGACACTTGCCCGGGGTCACACAGCTCATGCTGGGTAGAGATAAATTCAAGCTCCAGGCAGAGTCCCAGGGCCAGCTCCCAGTGTGCCCACTGGTGTTTCCCTGACCGTTCCCCAGACCCCACTCCAGCATAGCCTTGGAGCCTGGCTGCAAACACAGACAAACCAGGCGGGGCTTGGAGGGGCCTGGGGACCAGCATCAGGCTGGCTGCCCCCACCCAAGGGGGTTCGGATGTCCTGTAGAACCTGAGAGCCGTGCGTCCTGCCTCTCTGCACGTGGCGTGGAGGCCATGACAGTGTGGACACAGAATTTCCCTCTCCCACCCCGAAGGGCTGGGCTTGGTGCTGCGCGCCACCCTCCCACGCCCCGCCCCTGGCTCTGAAGGAAAACGGAGGCTCAAGAGTCCGATTTCAGTGAGCCAGTGAAGGTGGTGGCTTCATGAAGTTCACAGTCCCTTTTGGGGTCCTTCTAAGCGGAAGAAATCGAACATTAAATGAGATGCATGGGACAAGGGAAAGGCTCAGCGCCCTGATTAAGTTGTGTTTTCTGTTAACATCGTTAATGTTAATGATTAACTCATTAGTATTAGTAATTCTAGGGCAGTGAAAACTTGACTCACCTCGACTTCAGTTTAGAGAGCTGGGTTCTTTCCCTTTGCTCCAGTTTAGTGGTTTAGAATGTGAAGAAATTTCGCTTGGGGCTGGGGTGTTGGCGGTTTGGGGGGGAAATGATCTGTCTGTGGTTCAGTAAATAATACCTGGCTGGGTCTGGGTCCCGAGAGGTGGCGGGGTGGGTCCTCACCTGGGACCCCGGGCAGGGGCCACTCCGCGTCTCCGCCATCCGCTCGGGCTTTGCAGCCCCGGCTGATCCCAGAGGCTGGCGGGAAGACGCGGCGACAGGGCAGGGGGCCTGAGGAGCTGTTCTGTTCCTTGCAGATCAGGAGCGACACTTCGCAGATCTTGGAGGAAGACATCCCTCTCCTGAAGGCCAAGGTGACAGAAATGCGTGGCATCTACACCAAAGTGGACCAGCTGGAGGTGTGTCCAGGAAAATGAGCCCCTCGGTGGGCTCTGCGGACGTGTTCTGGCTCTTTGGTCCTGTCTCCCAAGACACTGCCCTGGCCCGGTGCGGGACGTGAGGGTCTATATGCACGTGGCCTTTAAAAAATAGGACACACGTGAATTTATAGACAGCATCCTAGTTAAAGAACAGGGGTACCTATATAAAAATCTGAACATTAAGCTGCTCTTGGAAATTCAGAAGCTTTGATAACCCTGGGCCTGCATTTCTTTAAATACTTTCATCTAGTTGTTGTTCAAGGTATAAATAGATAAAGTGCACAGTGACTTTTTACACATGTAAACTCCCACGTGACCCAGTTTGAGAAATGGAATATTTCCAACCCCCGGGCTGTCTTGTAGAGCTGGTGGCAGCTGCCCCTCCGATGAGGCGTGTGCTCTCTAGTTCACCGCAGGCCCCACCGGCCCCTGTTGCCTCACTGCCGCCTCTCTCCCCCCCGTCTGTTGCTTGTGTGGGCTGAGCTGCACAGCACCTCCTTTTCCTCCTGGCTGCCCTGCAAAGTTGGTGCCCTCCCTGCCCCAAGGCCCCGAGGAAGGGCCTAAGCACCAAGAGGTAAATCACTCACCCCGAGTCACACAGCTAATGCCGTGAAGCTGGGACTCGGCTTCCATCCATTGGGGCCTAAGCTCTTCGTTGAACTGCGGCCCTCCGCTCCGGGTCTCGGCTCCTTGTGCAGAGAAGGACTGGGAGGCTGGGAGGAGCGTGTGGTTGAACAGTGGTCACCTGGACAAAGAGGGGGTGTGGGCCCCTCCGAGGCGCAGAGCGAGGGAGCACGGCCGTCAGCGCTGGAGCTAGCAGAGAATTAACATTCCTGTCAGCAGCGAATAAGGCAAGAATATAATTAAAACTTTGCCCTTGGAATAGCTGATTCATTTGAATTTTATTCCACATGTTGGAAAAAGGGAAGATCTTGCAGCTCTGTTCTTGCCTTGCTTGGGCCGGCTCAGCTGTCCAGCTGGAGTCTTTGCTTAGCATGTGGTTTGCTGACATTTATTGCAGGCCTACTATGTGCCACTCGCAGGGAGGACAAATATAGTGCACAGCCACATTCTAGCAGGAGAGACACGACGACAAAACATCACCTTAGCGGTTTCTACTGCCACCGCCCCAGAGGGCCACACATGGCTGGCTTAAAACGCGAATTTTTATCTTACAGCTCCTGAGGCCAGACGTCCAAACTATGTCTCTCAGGCTAGAGTGGATGTGTCGGCAGGGTTCCTTTGGAGGCTCTGGGGGTGAACCCATGTCCTTGCCTTGTCCAGCTTCTAGGAGCTGCCTGCATGTCCCTTCCTCCGTCGGCAGAGCCCACAGCCTTGCGTCTTCTCGTCTCTCTCCTACTCGGACCCTCCCGCTTCCCTCTCCGTAGGACCCTGGGGCTATATTGGCCCACCTGGATCAGCCGGATCACGGCCCCCTTGCAGGAGCCTTAGTCACACCTGCTAAGTCCCTTTTGCCCTGTAAGGTAACATATTCCCAGGTCTGGGAACCAGGCCGTGAACATCTTTTGGGGGCTGTGATTTTGCTGGTCACAGTTACCAAGCGTGACTCAGAGCCACCGCCTGGGCCTCCGCTCTCTCCTCCTCTTAGGGTCAGATTCCTCCTCCGTAAATTGGGCCTGTGCTTTTTGACCCTCACAGGGTCGTTGTTAGGCCAGCACCTGGCACGTCTAGGTGCTCAGTGGGGACGAGCTGTCACAGTGGTCGTCGCCTGCAGGCTGAGAGAGGCCAAATCTGTGCACGATGCACGCTCACCACTCTGCCCAGCCGGCTGTGGCTCCCTGGGGCTTTCGGGGAGCCCAAGACCACCCTGTTCTCAGATCAGTGCAACCCACTGGGTGGGAGGAGCTTGGGAGCCACGAGGTGACCTCTCAGGCCAGAACTTGGCCCTGTAACGGTTGTAATCATAAAAGCAAACGTTTACTGAGCACCTGCTCTGAGCCAGGAACTCACAGCACTTTCCTCGCAAGAATGCGGCAGCCCCGGGAGGAAGGTCCTGTTCTTAGTCCCATTTTATAGAAAAGCAGGTGAGGCGCAGAGAGATGGAGCGCTTTGGCCAAGGTCACACAGCTAGAAAGGGGTGGAGCTGGCATCGCAAAAATCTGAGCTCCTGACTGCTCCTCAGTGCTCAGCGTTGGCACTTTCTGGGCAGGGACCTGCTTGAGCCTGGGGCCTTTGCCAAAAACATTGGAACTTGCAAATATGCTTTAAAACAATGGGGCTTTCTCCCTTCCTCCCTCCCTCCCTCCCTCCCTGCCTTCCTTCCTTCCTTCCTTCCTTCCTTCCTTCCTTCCTTCCTTCCTTCCTTCCCTCCTACCTTCCTTCCCTCCCTCCTTCCCTCTCTCTTTCCTTCCCTCCTTTCCTGCCTTCCTCCCTCACTCATGATAATAAAAAGTATACATTTTCATTGTAGAGAAAAAATATATAGAGGTCCCCCATCCTCCATAACCAGCCATCAGGGTGGCTATGATCGGCTGTCACCCTCCTTCTGCCCCCAGCCCCCGACGGTGTGGGTGCACGCCTGTCTCCCCCAGTTGGCTGCAGGCTGGGGTGGCCCAGGCTTGGCCTGTCCCTGGCCCGGCTGGGCTGGGCTGCCCTTGCTGGCAGGCACTGGGGAGGCGGGCCCGACCTCATGCGCCTGCATTCCTCAGCGTGGCCTCGCTCCCCACCAGCCTGGTATTAGCGCAAGAAGCGTAAAATTGGAATCGGCTGGAGGAAGGGCCTGCGGGACTTTCTTCTGTTTCACAACCAGATGTGCTGGCCAAACAAGGCCTCCAAACTCGAGGGCCAGAACCCTGGTCAGGGGAAACTTCCAGCCTGTGTGCCCCTTGTCCCCCGCACTGCGTGTGTGCATGCGTACACACATACATGCACACAAGAACCCCAGGGGGGCAGCGACACCATCCTGGCCTCATCCAACATCTTTCTGCTGAGGATGTATCGAGTCGTTCATTCACACGCACATTCATTCCTCCTTGTGTGCATGTCCTCACCCCTCCACGCGTGGATGCCTTCACGCCTTCACCATGCGGCCGAGCCCCTTCCAGCTGACCAGGCTCTGGTCTTGGCCTGTGAACAGCACTGACTCAGCACCTGCTCTTTCTGCACTCACATTCCAGAGGAAGCTGGTCTGTGAGTGGACAAGAAAGAAGTTCAGAGGGCAGGGCGGACTCTGAAGACAGGTGGCTCCCCCGTGACTCGGGGGCCGTGTTAGAGTAGGTGGTCAGGGTGGGCCTCTCTGTGGAGGGGAAGTCAGTCCAGGGCTGGAAAGATGAGCAGCAGGTATCCCATCCAGAACAGGGAGGGGCCCCACAGCACAGAGAGAGTGGTGCAAAAGCCGGGGGAGGGGTAGAGGGAGGGTTAGGGTTGGGCTGTGTGGCTTTCCAAGCCTGGCCAAGCCTGGTTAGCTATGGGAGCTGTTATGTTATTGTCAGGGTCCCTGTAGGGGACCTCCTGGCTAGGCAGGCCCGACCTCGACCTCGCCAGAAGCCCATGGGGCCGTGACCTGTGCCACCGAGGGAGTGTGCGCCAGTCTGCAGCAGGTGTGGCATCCCCGCTCTCCCCCCTCCCCCTCTCCCCCAGGCCTTTGTCAAGATGGTGCGACACCACGTCTCCTTCCTGGAAGACCACGTGCTCCAGGCCGAGCGGGACCACGGGGCCTTCTCCCAGGCCCTGCGGGGCTGGAAGTGGCTGGGCTCCAGGGGGCTCCCCTCCTTCAGGAACGTGAGTATCTCCCCACCTCCCTCCTCCTCCCAGGCCCTGGAGGGGGAGAGGGGCTCAGGAAATGGGAGGTCAGAGGGCATGTCTCAATTCTGCAGACAGGAAACCGTGTCTGGCTGGCCCGGGGGAGGGCTGGCCCAGGTGTCTGGGTGTCTCAGGCCCTCCCGCAGGTCCCTCTTGCTCTGAGCTTTGAGCTGTGTTGCTGTGACCTTTTGCTTATTCGTCCACCATTTATTGAGCGCCTGCTGTTTGCTGAACACGGTGGTCCATGTAAGAGGGGTGCTAATGGTAGAAAGCAGGGATGGTATTCAACACTCTACAAAGCCCCCACAACAGAGAGCTCTCTAGCTCTACCTGCCAGCAACACCCTGCCCTCAGCTGGGTCTGGTCATTAAAGTAATGGCTCATGTTGGGCCTGTTCTAAGGGCTTTACGTGCTATGTAGCATGGGATCTAACTCATACACCAGTCTTTGGAAGAAGGTAATTTTATCGTCGCTGCCATTTTAGACAAGGAGACAGGCTCAGGGACGTGAAGGGACTTGCCTGAGGTCACCCAGCCTGGTGTGACAGGCTGGATTGAGGCCCTGGTTGACACGTCCCTGGGGTCTTGCTCTGCACAGGAAAGATGTCTAGCCAGCCAGCCAGCCACGGTGGCCTGCACCCCCCACGCCCCGAGGGGGTCTCTGTTCTTTGGAATCTGCTTGCGGGTCTCCTGTCTGCACTTCTCTTCCCCCGCCTGCGCCAATGACTCTACTTTGTGTTGCCCCAAAGTCTCATGCGTTGACTGTTCACAGTGTCCCGGGCACTACATTAGGCATTTCCCCTGCGTTGACTTGTTTACCTTCCTGATCTTTGTGCACGCTGGGTATTGATTAACGTTACCCTCGTGTGATAGATGAGAAAACGGAAGTTGGAAAGTTTCAGGGGTTGCGGTCTTGCAGCCCATGGACAGAATTTGGCCCACATGAACACATTTTAGTGGCAGTGTTACTTAAACAGCGTGACTTGGGGTGCCTGACCGGGCTTTTGCTCCCTAGTCCTGGCCAGGCCCCCGCTGCTCCATCTCGTCTTACACCTGCCCCAGGCCTGTGCTGCTCGCTGGCCCCCTCAAGGGGGAGTGACTTGCCCAAGGCCGATAACAGCGAGACAGTGGCCCCACAGACTTCCTGGTCTAGAAGCTCCTACTATTCCTTCAAAACCCAAGTTTATGCCACCTCTTTTTAGAAGCCCTCCAGATTTCCCCCTCTCCAGACAACTGCTATGTTTTTTGCCTTCCAATGACAATGAAATCCTAAGCTGTTTCCTTTTTCCTCTTCTCCCTGGAGTTACGGTGACTCTGCCTGGGTGACCAGCAGCGCCCCAGTCACACAGTACTCTGCCCGTTGATGGCTTCAGGACCTCAGCTGCCCATGGCTTGCTGGTCCCTTGGTCTCTGCATTTTACAGCCTTCTTCTGTCATCCATACAATTATCCCTGTGTGGTTGTCAATAGTGTCCCCATTTAGAGGCAGAGACCAAGGCCTGGAGAGGGAGAGACACGTGGTCAGTGGTGGGGCTGGAACTCAGGCCCCTGTGGCTCCAACACGGGGTGCGGGGGTCTCATTTCTGCAGACAGGAGACTGTGTCTGGCCGGCTCGGGGGAGGGCTGGCCCAGGTGTGGGTGTCTCAGCCCCTCCCTCGGGTCCCTCTTCTTGCTCTGAGCTTTGAGCTGTGTTGCTGTGACCTCTTGCTTATTCATCGACCATTTATTGAGCGCCTGCTGTTTGCTGAGCATGTGGGAGGGGTGCAGGATCTGGTGGGTCCCACAGAGGGTCCCACTGGGGTGTGGCTGGGCATGCCGAGGCCTGCACCTCCTCATCTCTGCCAGACTCGTGGTCCCCCCAGCCTACCTGTGGTGACTTGTTCCAGGAAACTTGTCGCAGCCCGGGGGTGGTGAGTCATTCCGCACCCCCAACATGTTGATCTTGGCCCCAGGAGGGCTTTGTCTGGGGCAGGCAGTGCCAGTGAGCGGTACACACACACACACACACACACACACACACACACACACATGCGCGCGCGTGCACACACATGTGCAGTCCTGAGGGTTTCTAGGGCTGCACCTGCCCCCAGGGTGCAAACTAGGGGGCCCTTCTAGAATAGTGTTTGTCATCACAGCTTGTGTTGGGGGGTCCTGACTCTGCAGGGACCTCACATCCCACCTTGTGAGTTAGGTCTGGTCACTGTCCCTATTTTATGGATAGGGGAACCGAGGCGCCAAAGGGTTGAATTGCTTGCCCACCTAGAAGTGGCGGAGCTGGGATTTGAACTTGCGAGACCTGGACCCAGGCCAGTGCTCTGCACTGCTTGGCTCCGCCAGGTCTTGCTGGGCCCCGTTCCGACCACTGGAACCGCTGCCTGGGGGGCTGGGCCCTCACAGGATGCCGTCCCCCAGTGATCCCTGGGATTCCACTGGAGTCAGCTCCCCTCAGTGCCTGCGCGTGGGGGCGCTGCCCTTCCTGGACCGCGGCTGTCGCCCTCAGAGGGTCCACGCCGCCCCCTCACCCCGCAGCAGTGAGAGCTGCTCTTCTCGACTCCAGACTCCACCTCCTGCCTCCACCCGCCCTCCGAGGGTCCTGTGGAGCCAAGGCTGGCGTGGGACGGGGCTCTTGGGCCTCGCCTGTCCCTGTGGGGTGACACCCATTGCTGTCCCCATGGCCTTTCCTGAGTCATGGGGCCCAGGAGGGAGGGCTCTCAGCCTTCACTCTGTAGCTGGGCAGGGGTCTTTTGGAGGAGAGGGGAGAAAACTGGTCCTTGCTTTTTCTAACTTTGTTGGCCCCACCCCCCTCCTGGCCTCCTTCCTCACTCTCTTCTTCCTCACTCTGCAGGGAGGGTGAGGGGCAGCTGGGCCGGGCAGCAGTATCCCTGCCCCTCTGCCCCAGCACCAGGGACCCATGTGACTGGGTGCTAGCTGTCAGCTGGGCTGGCCCCAGGTGCCTTGGAGGGGAGGCCTGGGAAGGCGGGAATGCCACCTGCTACCAAGCTCCCCCTGAAGCCCAGGCCTTGGACCTCGAGTTGAGTGGCCCGAGGAGCCTGCCGTCAGCCCACAGGCCGAGGGCCAGCCTGGCGCCCTGGGCCCCCAGCGCCAGGTACAGAAATGGGTGCGTGTTTTCCCACTATAATGTGTGTGTTTTCGTGGTGCGAGAGTCCTCATTTTCATCCCGCACTGCAGGAAGGAAAAGTGTTTGGTTATACTTGTACATTGATCCTTGTAACGCTCCAAGATCTTAACTAAGAACTGTACCTCCCTCCCTCTGTGACATTTTTTTAGCTGTGTGACTGTGGGCAGGTGGCAGAGCCGCTGTCAGCCTCACAGAGCTTAACTGTGGGCTAGCTGACGTGGGCACAGTCCTGTGCTGGCTAGAAAACTGGCACGGATTCGGTGCCAAGTGACGGGGCCTCCACCAAAGCAGAGGGAATGAGGAGGAACAGAAGGGCTCCAAGGAGGGCTCTGCGCATCAGCGGGGCTGAAAAGCCAGCTCCGCTTGTAGATAAGGTCCCAATGCAGGACAGACCCCTCCGTCGCCCAGGGGCGGCTAGGGGTCATGGAGGTGGGGACAGAGGTGGGGACACAGAGCGGGCCCCGCAGAGCCAGGCACCATTCTCAACTCAGCACCCACAGGGGAGGGGCTGTTAATCTCCCCATTTAACAGGTGAGCAAAGGGAGGCACAGAGAGGTTACTCAAGGGCCCACAGCGGGCCTGAGTGAATGAGTAAACCCACATTCTTAACTGCATCCCAGGCTTCCTGGGGAGGGAGGTGTGGCCTCCACCCTCAGAAAGCCTGTCTGGTGGGTGAATACAGACAACAACGAAATCCCAAGCAAACGCCGTAGGTAGTTGTTTCTAAAGGGGACTGGGGCTCGCTCTGAGTTGGGGGCGTCAGGGATGGCCTAGGAGGAAGGGCCATGTTGGCTGAGACCTGGACCATGAGGGAAGGCAGTGTGAAGTCTGAGGGAAGGGTGCTCCCAGGAGAGGGGACCACGGCACAGGGGCCCTAACGTGGGACCCCCGCACGCGGCTCGAGGAGGAGTGGGAAGTCCGGGGCAGGTGCCTGAGTGAGCCGGGACTCGAGCGCACAGAGGAGTTTAAGGCTATTCTAAGGGCAATGGGAAGCCCCGGCAGGGCTCTTAGCAAGGGGAGCGGCTTGATCAAATTCGATTGGCCCGCAGAAATTTCCCACGCCTCGCCCTCTGCCCTGATCTCCGGCGTTCAGAGGCACGATGTCTGGTTGAGGCTGGCACACCAGTCCGAGCAGGGCAGGGCGCACGGGCGCCCTCCAGGTTCCAGAGTTCAGTCGTTCGTAGTGCGTTTCCTCAGCCCGGAAACATGCCCTGCACCCTGAGCGCACTGCAGGCCTCGCACGGGGGGGCCGAGGGGCCCTTGTCCCATGGGAAGAGAGAAAAGAGGCTCCCGGTCGGCGGCCCAGGTCTCCCGGATGAGAGTGTGGGTCCCGAGGCCCTGCCTGAGGAGGCTTCTGCACCTGGAGATCATTTGCAGAAGTGAAAATGTGAGATGGAGCTCGAGTCATGGGAGCCGTGAACCTCAAAGGGCAGGGAAGACCGCGTCAGGTGACACCTTGTCCGCCGAGCCCAGGCCCAGCATGGTCGGGTGGCCGCCGTGGGTGTACTGCTGACGGCGCCCGGCCCTGCCTGGGCGTGCGTGTCCCCGGGGCTCGGTGCCACCCCGCTAGTTTGTTGTAAACCACCGTTTGTTTTCTGCCGAGCCAAACATCTTGTTCGCAAGGTGTCACTTCGATTAATTTTCCGATGGAGGAGAGTGTGGGACTCTCTGAGAAAGGCCTTTGGGTAATAGCAAAACCACTTGGGGCCAGATCCTGACCTCCGCACAGAGCCAGGCAGTCTGGGACTTGTGGCCCGGCCTGGACTTGGGCTGGTCCGGGGCCCTGATCCCCCCGCAGGGCTGTCTGGTAATGAAAAAGTGTGTCCGCCAGGTGTGACACAG